AGTAATGGTACCTTAAATATTGCGATGTGAAGTATTAAAGGAACTTCATATTGGACATTTTGGCATGACTAAAATGAAAGCACTCGCCAGAAGCTATTGCTATTGGCGAAATGTGGATAAAGACATAGAAACTCTGGTAAGTTCATGTAAGCAATGTTGTGAAAAAAGAAATGAACCACCTAAAACTAAACTTCATTCATGAGAGTTGCCTCAGGAACCATGGCAACGTGTGCACATTGACTTCGCAGGACCTATTCAAGGAACATCATTCTTTGTTGTAGTGGATGCATATAGAAGATCGATTGAAGCAATTCCAACAAAAATAACAACTACAAATTGGTGCATAAAACAACTTGGACAGTTATTTATATTCAGAACATTTGGTTTACTCATTACACTGCTATCTGACAATGGACCACAATTTACTTCGAATACATAGAAGTGAAGATATGCAGAATTTTAGTGCAACACCGAAAAGTACAGAATGCTTCAGGGAAAAGTGCTTATAACTTGATGTTAGGTAGAAATATTCGAACCAGATTAGATCTATTAACCAATGATGCTCTATGTAAAATAAATTATTAAGGCAGAAAGTACCATTTATCCAACATCTGCTTTATACATATCTAACTCTTTGATTACAAAATATAGCTATATCGATGTGTGTTAGTTGTTCATTTGCTATTTAAGTTAATTGTATATACGTTAACCGACGCATCAAGCAAAATAAAGATGAGGTGCTTATTTATATTTGGACTTGAGCGATATATAAGGAGTAATTTATATAATCCTGTACCCCCATTTTTTGTTTAATGAATTCAATCGCTGTTTTATTATCAATGTGAAGTAAAGAACGACAATAAAATTGGTCTTTTCGGAAGTGAAACATTTCAGTGTATAAAACACTTTTAGTAGTTCAAGATAACTGATGTTAGAATTTTTTAGTATTTCATTCCAAAAAATAAATGTTTTCGCACACGGTCCTCCTGTTTTTAGAGGCATCAGTCAAAATAACCATATTAAATTTTTGATTATAAATATTATCTGTGTTAAAATATTATTTTCCTCAAAATTTAAGTCGTATTTTATTGATTCAGAAATTAGCATTCTAGCGTCATAGAACGAAATTTTTAACTAAAGACTTGCCACGTTCCAGATGTTTGATACAAACCCCAACCACAATTAACAGCAGGACATGCAGCAACAAGTATTCTCCCCTTTTGAAAATTATCGAATGTATCATTCTTTTTTTTGCAATATAGTAACTTCAAGTTAATTTTGCTTTTCCATGGTCGGTACGTTATAAGGTGATATTTTACTATTATACATAAAGGACGTCCTTTATGTCCCTGAAGGACGTCTTTTAGACGTCCATAAGACGTCCGTGTGCTATGTGGGGAGGTTCTCAATTCGTCGCAATATTTTTTTTTATGTATGTTCAGCAATAATTCTTTAACACGGCGTCCGATTTCAATGATTCTTTTTTTGTTAGAAAGGGGGTACTTCAGGGGTGGTTCCATATAAATTTGGTCAAAATCTAATAATTGGGCCCATGAGAAAATTCTCAAACTCTTCATTTTTTATGTATGTTTAGCGATAATGCTTTACCACCTTGTCCGATTTATATGATTCTTTTTTTGGTAGTAAGGGGGTACCTCAGGGGTGATCCTATATAAATTTGGTTAAGATGTGGTGACGGTATCTGCACGTTTTTGAATTCGGTTTTTTTTAATTTTTAATTTCTAATACTTGTAGGATGTAGATTACGCTGTTAAAATATGACCGTCTAATTTCGGGACACCCTGTATATTGGAAATTCGAAATAATAGTTATGACGTAGCGGTGTTTTTCTAATTGTAATCGGACCCTAGATATATGGATACGGAAAGTGATGAATTGGAGATAGGTAAATTGTATTTATTGTATTAAAGGAACAACAAATATAAGTACAATTAAATAAGCATATTAATATAACAATTGTTTAAAGTCTGTATTAAAAAATTTTTTTTTTCACATAGATTATTAAATTAAAAAAATAACTATTAAAACACGAAATGTTAATTTTTTCTCTTTTACAACACAAAATATACAATACTGTGGAATCAAAATTTTCTCTTGGCAGCAGGTGGTTTTTGTGACGCGACAATTATGATGCTTTGCATCTCATGAATTAAAGTTCATTCTCTTTCAATCTTAAGGTGTTCATACCCCTTATAATTTTCGGACAAGAATATCTCAAAATATTTAAATTTTGGCAAAATAAATTAGGCAATAATATCTATAATATGCATATATTTTAATGTTTTAATTCCTTCCAGTTTCCCAAAAAAAAACTAACTTCATGTGTTAAGAATCTAGGTATTCATATAGATAATTCACTTCGCTTCTCGTCTCATGTGACAAATATTGTAAGAAAATCCTATAGTAGTTTAAAACTCCTATATGCAAATAAAAGCATATTGAATAAACGAACTAAAGCCATGTTATGTGATTCTCTTGTCCTATCTCACGCCAATTATGGCGATGTGGTCGGTCTATGGACCAAGTTTGTTAGGTGTTGATAAAACTCGCTTACAAAAGATACAAAATTCGTGTGTACGTTTTATTTGTGGACTTTACAGACGTGATCATACTAGTCAACACTTAAAGGAACTGGGTTGGCTTAATATGGCGGAAAGAAGAACATTGCATGCATGCTCAATGTTTCGCAAGATTATGGTAACTCTAACACCTGCTTACTTATATAATAAAATTCAATTCCGCACTGACGTCCACAACCTTAACATTCGTTTTAAATCTAAACTCACGCCGCCTTTACACAAAACAACCTTATATCAAGGATCTTTTTCATATTATATTTCCTGGCTTCTAAATGGATTACCGCTTAGCTACTCTAAATTTTCTCTTGGTAAATTAAAACATACATTAAAAGAAGACTTTTTAAATGGCAAACTGCGCAATATCATTAAGTAATACGACAGGATAATTTTATTATATAGCATAATTTCATTATACACGTTTTTCCGTTCTTCTATTAGCAATTTCTCACCTAATATAAATTGTTTTTCATTATTTTTGTTTGTTATACTATGCCAAGTTTTGTAACACCCTAGTTAAGATTATATGTATTTTAAGTTAATACCTATTATTTTAGATATAATTTTAGTATTAGTTTTTCTTTTTCCATTTTTTTTTTTTTTTATTGAGGTTGAGTGGAAGAGCAGCTTCTATATTTGCTTATGCAAATCTGAAAGCTGTACTTTGCCTTTTGGCTAATTATTTTTAATAAATTATACTATTTTAATTTTGTAATTTTCACATGCCAATAAAACCATATTTATTTATTTATTTATTTATTAATTTTTAAATATCATAATTAAAATAAATGCATTCCTCGACAGCACTATTCTTAATATAATCCCCAAATTTAAGCCCCTAATGTCTTGTTAATGATTTCTTAAAATTCGCCAAAATTAGTGGCTAAAACGCTTCGTTAAGTGCTATCTTCTGGTGTATACTGGTGTAAATTATTGCAAGAAACGAATAATGACAGAGTGTACGATACGATAGTTACAAGCCCGTTACACTGTTTTCCACTCAATTTATTAAAAAAAAAAAAATAAATTAGGGTGTTAATTTTTTTCTCTGAAGCTATTGGTTTTGGGAAAAAAATTCAAGAATAAAAAAAATTAAATAAATCAAGGATTTCATAAAAGTTCATCTCGAAAAAAAGTTTTGATATGAAATAAAGTAAGTGTTGCTAATTTCACCCCCCTATAATGTAACAGAAATATTGAAAAAATACCCGTGGTTAGTCCTTTGCGATTACAGAATTTCAAGTTTCTAGCTTTACTCAAATTTTAGAAAAAAAATAAAAAGTCAATTTTAGTCACCACTTTTTAAGGGTGATATCTCGAAAAGGGGTGGGCTAAGGAAATTTTGTTATAGGAAAGACCCATCTTAATTTCATACGAGCAATCAGTTCCTGAATTTTGTCGCATGTATTTAGAAACACCCTGTATATTACACTTTTCTTTAAGCGTGCAAAATTCTTGACAATCTCTTTTCCCTAATTGGCACATGTCGTATTTTTCTAGAATTTACTAACTCTGGCAGCAAACAAATAAAATAGAAATTTGTCAGCTGTGCATTTTTGCCTTCCAGAATTTTTCATTTCATAAATTAACTAAAAACTAAATTAAACAAAAACCTAACAACGCCTCAACAACAAATTAAACAATAATTTCGCACTCTTCAAAAACAACTACTTATTTTTCGACACAGGAATTAACAAATTTAACTAAACAGCAGCTACCCTTTTAACCACGGGCTTCAAAGACCAGCAGCGTTGCCATATTCACTGGTATCATTGTTTTAATAGAATTAGTATCGGAATGAAAACTATGTTAATCTTCGGTCCTGTTTAAAATTGGTAATCTTTTTGAAAAAAAGTTATTTAGAAAATAGTTAAGATATTTGTTATAGAATGCCGGTAAAGAGCCAAAAAATTAAATTTGTTAAAAAGTTGACATTTTTGTTGTTTTTCTTTAAAAATATAAGTTTTTCGCGGTTTAGCGAAATTCTTGGTTCATTTTTACAACGATTAGCCTGAACAATTTTTTTTACAATTTTTTTTAATTGCCTCAAATGTAAAATTGATTTTTGGCGGAGGAGTGCCCGTCATGTTTGCTTTTAATAAAGTGTAATAATGGTTGTACATGTGTAATATCTATTTGGACATTTGGACGAGTAAACGAAATATAATCAGCATTATATTACACTGACTATTTAACTTTTTCTTTTAAATATACAATTATACTTAATTTTGCTTTTTATAATGCTTCATCTCAAATTAATAAAACCATAATGGGTTATAACGATGTACGAATGGTTGGAAGACATTATTTGAAATAATGACTAATATTAAAAATCAATTTTGTCAAACAATCTGTACAAAACAAACTAGATTAATAATAATCACGTTTTTTTTTGATTTTCAGTTTTTCTCATACCTCAACGATATATACTGGGTATAATGGGATTTTTGGCTGTCGTGAACGCCTACTCATTGAGGGTATCCCTCAATATAGCCATTACAGAAATGGTAACCCCAAGTACTTCATCCTACTTCGATCCTGATTCTTGTCCTGGGCACAGTGGGAATAGTACACATACATCGGTGACTGTAAGTACCAAATAAATGTACTTATTCTAATTTATTTTACCATTTTAGTTTATTCAATTTATGCTTTTTACTTGTTCAATATCACCATTTATTTGAAAGATACCTTAGGTAAAATCATTAACTAACTAATTAACTTTTTTTAAGTTATCCTACGAACAGTCTAGTAAACTATAATTGAAATTATACTTTTCGTTTTTTTTTTCTGTAATAACTCTTTTTACATTTTCTTAAGTAGGATTGCGTTAAAACGGACACATTTTCATTGTACGTTTCAGTTTATTATACATAAAAACATTTTCAGCATTTGTTTACATTTATAGTATGTTTTTAAAAACACTGCCATGTAAATAAGTGTTTTTCAGATAAAAATATACCTAATAGAATACGATAAAAAAGATTGGGTGCATTTTAAAATATACATTGTAGAATATCTTTTAATCATAAATATCTCATTGTAACTTTCTTCTTCTGCCATAATAATTCACCTTCATTTTCACTATGCCAGTGCCTCCAAAGTGCCATTGCTAATAAATATTATTTATCGTCCACAAGTTCAAAATCAAATCACTTATATCAAAATAAATTATGCATAGATAGTCTCCAAATACCTCACAAACGACACAATTTAAAAAAGTCTGCGACTACAAAATAAAATACTACAGTTTATCTCAACCAACTGCGCCACTTGTTTTTACAACCAAACATTCTAAAATACGAAAAAACTTGAGCACCAATAAAATGCCCACGCGTTTAGCAAATTACTAATTTGTTTTTAAGCTGAGGAAAATCATCACTTGGTTTGTTCTATTGTATAGATTGATAATAAATTTATACATCAATAATATACGTAGATACTTTAACAGCTGAGATTTTTCTGTATGGTTTTCTTAAGTGGTTTATACGTGTTGAAACAAGTTGTAAACAGTCTTTTAAAATGTTCCAGTACATATTGTCTATAAATTACAAACCTCTCAAGAGAGAAAATAAATATGTTGAGAGACCTATATAGAAAAATAATACTCAACGAATTCTCCAATTATATATAGTTTGTTCTTTGTTCTAACCTATAAAATACAATATTATTAATATGTAATACCGTGTATCTTCCAACGAAAATCAAAATACATACAGGTAAAGGAACACTTGGTAGGGAACCTATTGAAACTAACCAAAGACACAGGACTATTCCAATACGGGGAATACGGGGAAAGCAGGGGAATACAATAGACCCAAGAGGCCGCAGTGTTCTGGGCCAAACCTAACCCTACCTGCTTACAAACGATAATGGTGCCTGATAGTTGTTGCTATAAGAGGTTTGATACTATCTTACAGTCCTACGATTTATCTCAGTTAATTCATGAACTGACACGGTATGCATCGACAAGTGTTACTGCTTTGGACTTGGTAATACGCTCTGAAACTAGCAAGGGTAAAGTATCTGTAACTGATGCATCTATTGTAGCTGATCATTGTATGTCATCTCTAACATTTTCCAATAAAGTTCCAAAAAAAGATCCCGCCTTTATGACGTTTAGAAATTTCAAATCTTTTAACATAACCCATTTTACTGCTATTAAGAAAATGATGTCCCTTAGAGACAGAGCATTAGTAAGGTTTAAGAGAACCGGTGTTCAGGGTCATTGGGAGTATTACAAACTAAGAGTGCAATACAAAGAGGAAAAAAAAGGCTTATTAAGAATTTAAGTTAAGAAACTGCGGAAACCAAAAAACGTTCTGGAAGGAATTACGTAATCTAGATATTTACTCTAAATCTAAGAATCATTCCATGCCAATAGAACTAAAAAATCCAAAAGAAATTAACGAGTATTTTGTAAATGCATCGAAATCTTATTTTCCTGTGAATAATTTAATAGTCGACTATTACAAAAATAATATATTGCCTAATATTATTTCTTTTAATTTTTCATTAACGAACGAACTAGAAATCTATAGAACTATATTATCGTTTAAGTCCAAAGCTGTTGGCCCAGATCTTTTAAGTGTTAACATGTTACTGTACGCTTGTCCATTTATTTTAAAATATATCTGTCACATTTTTAACACTTGCATTACCCATGTTTTTCCGTCTACCTGGAAAAAATCTCTAATCCATCCACTGCCCAAAGTTGGTAAACCGTTAGATTATAAAGCACTTCGCCCTATTAGTATATTATGTATTCTTGCAAAGTGCTTCGAAAAAATTGTTCATTTACAAATAATTATACTATCATACCTCAACAGCAATCAGGATTTAGACATTACTGATAATATTCTTAGAGCAATTGATCGTAATGAATTAACAGTACTTGTACTATTAGATTTTACCAAAGCTTTTGATATAATAAAACATGAACTGTTGCTAGCCATATTTCATTACATTCGTTTCTCTGATAATGCAGTTGGGCTATTAAGCAGCTATCTTGAGGGAAGGGAGCAAGCTGTTGTTGTGGACAAAACAGTATCGCAATATTTGACAGTTGAGAATGGTGTTCCCAGGGTTCTGTCTTGGGACCGACCTTTTTCAATATCTACACTTTGGAATTTTACAAATCACTGTGCCATTTTTATGCCGACGATACTCAACTTTATATTTGTTTCCCTGAAAATAATACTTAATTAGCAATAAAACACTTAAATAGGGATCTTCAATCATTAGCGGATACTGCCAGACATTTTTGCCTCAGTCTTAACCCATCAAAATCCCAAGTTCTCTTCTTTGGAAGAAAAAATGCGTGAAAACGAACTCTGGGCTGTGTTATCTTAAACATAAATGATACACCTATACCATTAGTTGAAAGATCAAAAAATCTTGGTTTGATTCTGGACACCTCTTTGCATTATACGCAATATGTTAACTTAATTATTAAGAGAGCCTACTGCAACTTAAAGTTAATTTATGCAAATAGGGGCCTTTTAGACCGAAAAAATAAAATTACTCTATGTGAGGCTTTGGTATTGTCACATTTAAATTTTGCCGATTTAGTATATGGTCCAGCACTGCTAAAATGTGATTTTCGTAGACTCCAATTAGTACAGAACTCTTGTGTGCGTTTGATTTCTGGTTTAAAAAGACGCGACCATATCTCTAAAGCTCTAAAGCTGAGTTAGGGTGGCTAAATATTGAAAAACGAATCTTTCCTTGTATATTTTTTATATTGGCGGAAGACTGTTGTACGAGAAGACTCTGCAAGCAAATTTTAAAGATGCATTGTCCTCAATTTCATCCCTTCTTAGGTTTGCGAACCATGAGAAAAAAATCGTGTGAAGAGGGGGATTAAGCAGGACTTGATGAATTCTTGGTAGCAAGAGGCCAAAAATCGTGTAGATTAGTGAAGACTGCACGCGAATTAGGGGTAAAATAACAATTTGTTTGTCCATTTTCAGCCTCTCCAAACTCCATAATTAAAATGAAGATCACCTTTTACTTTTACTCATTTTATCTATAATGTTAAATTTTTAGGCAAAATCGAATACGACCCAAAAGGAAACAAAATAGTTGGATTTGTTCTTCCGTTGGAAAATGGAATACCCGTAACAGACACATTTATAGAAACTTCGGCGAATGCAATTCAAGAATACTATCGCATAGGAACAAAAGCGCTCTATGTATATACTGTGATGGCTCAGCTGCTTTCCGAAAATGCACCTTCTTACTGCTTGACGATATTTGGGACAGACAATAAATTCACTTTTCAAGATTTATTTGTTTAAAGTTATTTTCAACCTGGTTGAGTATTATTTGATTTATTTACACAAATGTGCCTAAGCAACAGAAGGTGGTGTTTAACATTTATTACTTCAATAAAAATAGACTTCAGGTTTTTTTATTTTATTCCATAACATATCAAATTAATTATACCACTACCACTCGAACTGATTTTCTCAAATCATCAATAAAAAGGGTACATAAAGTAAGTAGTATAAGTAGCACATTAAGCCTCTGTATAATAATAAAAATTATAGTTACCCTTCTGCACTAGATGAGGATGTCTTAAAGAAATTGAATAGGTTTGTAGATAATTATGAACATAATGTAAATCTCATTACAGTCATCAAATATTAACAAGTAGGAACCTAATTCAACTGTAAAGAAAGTAAAAAGGGGCGTTTCAATCAGGTAAAATCATCTGGACTCTTATTCCCTTCGAATTATTCGAATAAATTCGGAAATTTAAGTCAATAAATAACGGATTAGTTAAAATAACTTATCGAAGCATTAGTAGGGGGAAGTTAGGAGGCATTCTGAGAAAGTCAGGAGGAAGTCGCAGGAAGTCCGAGGAAGTTAGGAGGAAGTCCGAGGAAGTCAGGAGGAAGTCCGAGGAAGTCAGGAGGAAGTTTGGAGGAAGTCCGGAGGAAGTCCGAAGAAGTCGTAGGAATGCAGGGGAAGTTACATGTACATTTCTCATATTTTAATATTTTATACTTGAACAGTTATAGATAAGTATATCTATGATTAATATTTTAAAGTTAATTGCACTATTACAGTATTATTTTTTTCTCATACATCATTAGTAAATTACATTTGCATCTACCTGCCTAAACAAATTATATTGTGATGTTTACTTTAAAACAACAGTTTATTTAATAATAATTTATTTAAACACTTATTTATTTTATAACACAACTATTCTAATTTATATATACTTCGAATGTCTTTGAATCGTTCACTATTTATATTCACCACTGTCTATCTACTAATTACTATTTATCTTCACTGTCCATATAATAACTAACTCTGATGGCTCATCCACCAATATTTATATACAAATTGGTGGTCTAGAATGTTCCTCCACCAAAATTACCAGAATTTACCAGAAACGTTATTACGTTATATTTAAACTAGAAATAGTATCTCGTTGACTCTGGAATGTTCGCGAAAGTGTCTCCACCATAGTCGTCACATAGGTTTGGTCTTAAGGGGTTTAATTATGTATAATAATCGAACAAGTTGAGCTTCAAAGGCCAAATTAGACAGAGAGGGACTTGTAGGGTTAGAGCATGACTGAATAATGAAATGGCTCACATAACAATATTATAACTTATCGGCTCTTGACTTTATTTATATACTTTAATTGTAAATTGTATACTAACTTTTCTTTCAAATAACGCAGTATTATTATTATCATCGTTGTCCACGCAGATAACTAATTTCATTTATTGTTTGCTAGACTTTAGCTAGGTACCCACCCTCTCCATATACAATTGTTATATTGTCAATAACCTGTTTCCAACAACAGTCGTCTTTTTTAGCCAACTTATTTTCAGCTTTTTGCAGGATACCAACCTCCTCTACGACTGGAATGAATCCACAAAAGGCCTCATTTTGAGCTCCTTCTTCTGGGGTTACGTCATAACACATATTCCTGGAGGAGTCCTAGCTGAAAAATTTGGAGGAAAATATTCATTAGGTCTTGGAATATTATCTACTGCCATTTTTACACTGTTGACACCGACTATCATAATTGCTACTGATGGAAATTGGAAGGTCTTAGTAGCCTTAAGGGTTGTAATGGGATTAGGAGAGGTAAATTTTACAAATATTTTTTTATTATTTATTGAGAAATTGAGAATATTTATGTCACCGCGTTAGATTGACATCGAAAGTTGACACTTAAATCTGACAATTAGCTGGCAAAATGGCGGAATATTCTATCTCGTTTCAGTAGACACTCAGATCAGATGCGCAACCGTTATTTAGCGGTATATTTCTCAGTGTGTGCAAAAAACGCATGCTAATTGAGCTTTTATATTTAACCACATATGGGCGCTGTTACTGCATACGGTGTTCAAAATACATGACTTCTTATGGGAATTATACATAATTTTGTCAAAATAATAAAAATAAACTTGTTTATAACCAAATAACATACTGTTGTATTTATTTCTAAATAAGTCTTGCATGTTTTAATTGATAAATTATTTATTTTATCTATATAAAATACAAATTAGGTATGTATGAAAATTCGAAAAGGTTTCTTAAATGCTGAAATTTGATAAGTACAATTTTGTGGCAAAATTTTTTATGAATTGAACCAATATATAGTTTTAAAGGTAAAATAAAACACAGTTAAGAGATTTTTTGATTGTTGTAATACAAGTATAAAGGGAGATTTGGGAATGTACATGGTATTACCTTATTCTTTAATTTCAGCTTCCTCCTTTTTATTTTGCTAACAGTACCATCAGTAAAAATAGTCTCATAATTGATAATATCTTCTAAAAAGTATAGAACAGCATTATCTCTAGAAAGTGCTTTATCGGCACTACGAACGATATATATGCTGCCACTGTTCTAAACGTTTAGTATTCTATAAAAAAACATTTACAATGACACAATTGGGGTCCAAAAAAAAAAATAACAGTAGCAACTATTTATCTAATATTAAAACTCTATAAAAAATAAATTTTCTTTTCTAGTAAGTTAAATTTAATGCATAATTATTGTTGTTTATATGTCAGGATCTATGACTGTAAAATTTTATATTATAAAAACTTGTAATAAAATAAACTATACTTCGTAAGATACATATTGTTTACAATAAATATTATATTTAGACATGAATACATTATTTAACTTACATTAGAAGCTTTAAAAAGAGATTGAATTGATTTCTTCTTCTGTTTTCTTTAGTTTTACATTTCATTTTTATACTGTTTTATAATCTGGAACAACGTAAATCTTGCTTTGATGCTTTTTGTCACTCATGTTACTTGTACTCAGGTACTTTTTTTCACATTATTTTGATTCTTTCCACCAATTTTTTAAAAAATCACTTCATTTTACATTGACTTACATAGAAAATTGACACCGCTGTCATTCGACATGCCAACTACAGTCAATTTCGCGAACTTTATAAAGAGAAGGACGCAAATTTGAAATTTGACCATTGCCGATTGGCCTCCTTCTCTGTAGTCTTCATACGTAGTTGCAAGGTCAAACGTCGGTTTGCTGTAGGCAATAATTCAGGGGCCATGAGTTTTCAAATGGCCCCGTATATGCAAGTAGCCCCGGTTTAGGGTACTTCGAAAATTTGTGCTTAAAATGTTATTATGGGTAGTTCAAATGCCAAGTACGAACGGCGCTGCAATTTTAATTTTATATTCCAGTAGCTTATCTAATAGCGTTTTCCATAGCCACTGGATGTGTGCACTGAGTATATTTGTGTCCTTGTTTATCGATATGAAATAGTAAAAATACACTCAAAACGCACTGAGCATGCCAATGGAAAATGCCATTAGATCATGAATTATTGTTCGTATATCCCCTATACGTTGTGAAAATAACAGTTTACTTTACTTAGTTTTTGATACATTATTGTCGCTCCTATTGGTTTTTAACCACGGATAAACCAGAAAACTAGATTATTTTTACCATTCCTTTTTCTTTCTTCTAACTGCTTATATAGGTACTTGTTTGATGTAATCCGCCTGCATAATCGAGCGTCCCTCGGATGTACTTTTTTGAGTTCATGTACTGTTAAAAATGGAAATGTTTTTTTAAAAAGGTATATTTATTTATAAAAACATTATGTATACTGGAAATTTCATTATATTTATAATGAGTTGAATAAATTCCCATTGTTAAATGACTTTTAATAAATAATATAAAAAAGTTTTAAAGAAATTTGTGAAAATAATAATTCTGAAAATTATGATTTATTATTTTTCTTTTTTAGGGTACCACCTATCCTGCTCTAAACGCCCTTCTTGCGAAATGGGTTCCACTCCAAGAACGAGCTAAAATTGGAACTTTGGTATATGCAGGAAGTCAAATAGGTAGACAAATTTATTATTCCGTTATTAGATTATTTTAAATGTCAATACAGTTGATTTTAAAAAAACTATCATATATTTGATTTGTCTGTTACATTTTCGTATTTCACCTTACACATAAAGATGGGATATTTACCAATATTATTCAAACGCTCCAAACTCGTTACTCGGTGGTTTTTGGGGATGCCTAATTCAATTCTAGCATTAGATTTCCCCGGGGACGTTCGGGGGTGGCTCTGTGGCGTTGTCTGGGGTGTAATTGGGGGGATGGCAGCGTCCATGAAAATCACTCCAAAATCGCTACTCGAGGATTTTCGGGGATGCCGAATTCAATTCTGGCATTAGACTTCCCCGGGGGCGCTAGGGGGTGGCTTTATGGGAAATGGTAAAGGAGAAAGTGAAAAATTTCAAATTATGAAAATAATACTATGGGAACTTTTAATTGTGTAGATCCCATCATAAATTATTTGTAGATAAATGTATGTAGTGCAATCGAGGCACTACAATACTTTCCCCCTTTTTTTGAAGTGTATGTTAGAGGTTTTTATTTTGGTTATAATTTTAAGATTTTATATTTGAATAGTTCTGTGTTGTTTATTATGAATATGATTTGTAAGTGTTTGATTAGTATTGGTTTTGTTAGTACCCATTAGTAATTGCTAGGTATCCGATAGGTTCTTTCTACTTGAAGAATATTACCGTTGATACCATTTTAGCAATTACTCTTGTTTTCTATCAGGACGTCACATTGTCCTAGGTAGAAAAGCCATGGCAATTGGTCTATATTGTGTGAATACTTAAGTCCTTTAGCACGTGCCCGATTTGGTCTTTATTATGTAAATATTTGGTTCCATTCGCACATATATGCAGTGCAAAATGCTAGTTGCATGTGTTTTGTATTGTTTTTTGTATGTTAAAAATGTTTCTTGTTAATGTTTGTTTTTATATGGTTGTGTGTTATGAATTTTATAAAGAAATCTTTCGAAAGAATGATTTTTATTTTCGAAAAAGTATATGAAGTTAAATTTAGAGTGTGGCAGTCAGTAGAAAGATTAAACTCACCTCTGTATATTGCATAAGGCTGGTCTTTGCCACCGCTTCTTTTGCTGCTGTTGTTGCCATTGCTCTTGCAGTTCCTTAGTGGTTTCTATGATTGGTTTTACTGCTATCAACGTTGCTGCTGCAGCTCCGTAGTGGTTTCTATGACTGTTTACATCGCAAGTGCGTTTCTGTTGGGGTCACCAATATGGGAACTTTTAATTGTGTAGATCCCATCGTAAATTATTTGTAGATAAATGTAAAATTATTTATTGTAGATAAAAATGGATGACATGTCATGTATAGTAAAAATCTGATGTGTCCAACACATGACTTTCCTATCTCGTTATTATAGGCTTTTTCCGGTTATTTTGTACAATCTATTGCAGCATCTCTATAAATGTTTAGAGGATAAACTAAATATATACATTGTCCACATACATCTACCTCGAAACATTTTTCTATAGATATTCATTGAAAACGAAAATACTGAAAAATTTAAATTTAGCACTTTTCCATTACGGTCCATTTTAGAAAAATCATGTATAAACAAAAATTATAGAGATCGATATCGCAAACAACTTTTAGTTCAACAATTTTCATAATTTCTCGAATGCGGACCAGTTCAGGAAATTTTGACATAAAGCAAAAATTATAGATAATAATATTAGAAGTAACTTTTATTTGAACAATTTTCTTCTCCAAACATAAATAACAGATATATTCCATAAAATATAAAAACGGCCTCCCATAAAGTACCCCCCAGATGTTCCGACTTTGTCCAAAATCTAATAATTTCACGTCAGGCTGAAATAAACCTTAAGTTTAAAATTTAATGTTTTTTCTTTATCCGTTTTTGAGTTTTCTTCAAAATTCGAAATTTACATATTTTCTCAAATATCTCGAATACGGTCCATTTTAGAGAAATTATGTATATAATAAAAATTATAGAGAATTATATTACAAACAACTTTTATTTGAACAATTTTTATAAAAAAATATTTTTTTTACATTTTGTCAAATTTCTCGAATACGGACCATTTTAGGAAAATTTTGTATAGAACAAAAATTATGGATAATTATATTAGATCTTGAAAGAGTAAAACCAAATTTGGTAGATTTTCACACTTTTATTTTAAAAAATATAAAAATTTTTAAAAACACTTACATGACATATGTTTCGAAGTACAACTTCTTTTTCAAATGTGACTAATTTACAATTCGGTATACTTAAGAAAAACATCAATAACATTACAACCCCACAGAGCTACCCCCGAGCGCCCTCGGGGAAATCTAATGCTAGAATTGAATTCGACATCCCCGAAAACCCCAGAGTAACGAGTTTGGAGCGATTTTCATGCCCGTTGCCATTTCTCCCCAATTTACCCCCCGCGCACCCCCACAGAGCCACCCCCGTGTAATTCTAATGCCAGAATCGAGTTCGGCAGCCCCAAAAACCCCCCCGAGTAACGATTTCCGAGTTTCCAGTCGTTCCTATAATGGTGCAAGTAATGATGCAATTGGAAAATGCATTTTCCGGCCCAGAAGGCATTTTTCAAAAAATGGCTATACCAGACGATATAGACTTTTTTCCTGGGACCTGCCTGAACACAATGCAGAAAAACGCATCCCGATATCTGCTGCCCCTAAAAATGTCCGCTAATCCGGTCGATTTTGATCCAAATGCCCTGGACAATATAAATATACCTATTTGGCATAAGTGGAAGTACCTGACAGTATGAGATTTTTGTTAACTAATAACTACAAAAACCACTCTTTGTTGTTTTCTGGTAGACATCGGGATCACCTGCACAGTCGTTCTTTTTTCTTTCAGTACTCATCAGTTTTCATTTGAACCTATCTGCCAGCGTCTATCGCTATCTCTAAATATAATATAAAATGTGTAAAAGAAGTTGCTATGTTCTTTAAGATGCATTATTATATATTTTAGGTACTATCGTAAGCAACAGTATAAGTGGCGTTTTAATCAACTCGACTAAAAGTTGGGCCTCTGTTTTCTACTTGTTTGGTGGCGCTGGCGTCCTTTGGTTCATACTATGGCAACTTTTGTGCTATTCCGAACCAGAATCTCACCCTTTCATCAGCGATGAAGAAAAAGCCTACCTCAAAAAAGAATTAGGTAAGTCTTTTAACCTAGGTACATGTGTTTTTTTAGCATTCTTCAACAGTTTCTTATTAATTTAAATATATTGGTAAATTTACATTTAATAAAACTTGTATGGATTATGGGAAAATATTAATTTACAGAAAACGTTTCGGAAGAAAGCCTGGACATTCCGTGGAAAGATATTTTAAAATCTCCTCCATTATGGGCTTTGGTGGCAGCTCAAATTGGTCACGATTGGGGTTTTTTCACCATGGTCACAGATCTGCCAACATACATGAGCGACGTTCTTAAATTTAACATTAAGGAAAACGGTGTGTGGACTTCTTTACCGTATGCAGTCATGTGGCTTGTGTCTATGGGCTCAGGATGGCTGTGTGATTGGTTGGTGTCTTCTGGATATTTGGGCGTTACCTTTGCCAGGAAGTTTTTCACTACAATTGGTAAGTATTAAAATGTTCGAGTAAATTTTTAAAAATTAAAATGACCGAGAGCCATAGTATCCCAAAGAATAATGTACATAATGTGTGTTAGATTTTTACTTGCTAAGTGCATAATTTCTCAATTTTAATAGTAATTAAATATTGTCTGTAAACCAATTTCAAAATCTAAATGTACAATAAACGTGTTGGTGATCTGATAAAATATGTATTTCCTTATTACCTTGAGATGTTATATTGATTTGAGATTTATATAAAGTTAATGAGGCTTTCACCCAGACAACACACCAAATCCCAGAGATATCCACAGAAAGTAGCATATTCGTACACGGGTGAAAAGTAAATTCTTATTCATACTCGTGTGATATAGGGCACTTTTCATAGGCCTATATAGTGTGATATGTGTCACTTTCCTAAGTGGTCGTATGAAAAATTATATTAATTACAACTAATTTGTTTCAGCTTCCGTTGGTCCAGCTATCTTCATTATGATCGCTTCGTACTCCGGATGTGATAGATATCTAACCGTAGCGATGTTTACCGTTGCCATGGGATTGATGGGTCCTTTTTACTGTGGAATGAAAGTAAACGCATTGGACTTAGCTCCTAACTATGCTGGTACTCTCATGGCTATAGTCAATGGAATAGGAGCAATAACAGGAATCATAGCGCCTTACTTAGCTGGTGCACTCACCGAAGATGTAAGTAATTAATTAATCTTCTTTTACTAGATTAAATAACTAATATTTCTAGGTTTGTGTTATATTTTCATATGATCTTTATAAAATGAAACATTTAACTTCATTTTTCATTATTGTTTCCTACCGTATTTTAAATAAAAGTTATTGTTGTTTGAGTTATATCCCAAATTCCCATTACATATTAATTAACAACCAACTTCTACTTTTATTCATAGCTTTGCAGACGACAGGGATGATAGCAGTCTGCATCCAAATTTTCACCAAAACAAATGTATTCAAGCGAACTTAACATACGAAAACAGATTGTAATTTTTCTCTTAATGATGACCTTAGATTATCACCGAACAAATGCTTCCAAAACACAATCTTGTCTACACTGAAATATAACAGGATATTGTATGTCAAATTTAAATAGCATACTCCTGAGTTCATTTCAAGCAAAACATGTTCTATAGTCGGAATAAAAGAGTAGTGCAGTAAAAGTGGGGATTTAACGTCACATTCCATAGTCGTACTTTACAAAATAATTTTCTATAATATAAATAAGGTCTGGATCCAGGCCAACAACGGGCTTAGATTCGTCAGATTTTTCCGTTGTCGTATATCTACTGCGTGATGAAAAGCAGACGATCTAAGTAGTTGTGACGCAACTACTGATCTACTTCGATCCTATTTAGCCCAGTCCGTTGGTTCCATCGCGCGCTAATATACGACACCGTACAAATCTGACGAACCTGGGCCCGTTGTTGGTCCGGGCTCGGCCCGTTATATCTATACGCACCTTTATGCTTCTAACAAAATTGTTGCACTTATAAGGTGCGTACAGTCTGTTCGCTATACTTACGCGGGTTTCGGATTAAAAATTTTATGAGTATTTCCAGGTAAGTACCCGAAAATTTGACCTGTTCTTTGGGGAAATATCAACTGGTTAAATGAAATGAAAAATAATGTACAACTTTTTAATTAAATAATAATGGAGAATCTTTTGTATAATTGAGAGCAGAATTAAACTTCTTCATTAATGGAGTCTAATGTGGCTATTATAAACCAAATAATAATTTTATATTACACTTCACACAGAAAATATGGTCTATATAAGAGGGTTATTTAGCTCAAATAAAATATTTTCTAACATAAAAATTTGTTCCATGTAAAGAATTTCAAATGAAAAATAAAAAAATTGAACTTGCCAACAAAAATAAAAATCAGTCATTATCATTCAAAATATCATAATCGTCATCATCATCATCACTGTCATCACCATTAATTGCTATTATGATTGGACTTATTTCGTTTATTTTATTTTCACGAGTCCACCAATCTTCTATTAGTTTCTCGCACTTGGATATACAGTTCCGCCATACTTCTGGAGTTGCAATTGAAAGTGCTTTTCGCCAAGTTTCCCGAACTGCGTCGTCACTATAACCATTAGGCCCAATATGGTTGTCATAATATTGTTTTGCTATTTTACAAACATTTCTTTGTTCATATTATCGTGATAGTCACTGGGTTTTGATTTAGATGAAAATATTAAATCAGCACCTTCTATAAAACCCGATTTCCCTCCTGCATGTAAAATTATGTGCCGCTTCCCTTCTCCATCGGTATGTTTGATGGACTTTACGTTATCATCTTGCCATATTCTCTTGGTTGCACCCCTAGAAAATATCCATGTTTCGTCTAAATATATAAAATTCGCCCCTTTTTCTTTAAATTTAGAATATTTTCTTAGAAAGTTAATTCTCTTGTGCACGACAGAACTTCTTTCAGAAAGGGCCTTTCTGTTATCCTCCTTTTGAAATTTGAAACCCAAGTTATGTATCACTTGCCACAGACTTGTTCTGCCAATGTCGTCAAATTTTCTATCTATTAATTCCGAGAGAATTGTATTTAAGGTCACATGTTCCTTGTTGGCCCTCATTCGATAAATGGTATCACGAATTTCAAATTTCTTTCCATCTGGAATATCTTTCGTTTTCAATGATGGGCGAGTTTTGCGGTGATCTTCGTTCGGCAGTTCACTATTGTGATTTTGTAATACTCCTCTTAATTTGGTTTCACTAATTCCTAGAGCATCGCATACGCGTTGTTGTACAGACATTACCGATTTTAAAGGACCGCCATTTTCTTTTTCACCCGTAAAATACTTATGTACACTACAAATTAGACTATCTACATCTAACACACGTCTAGGCATTTTTAAAATTTACAATATACATATAATGTCAACACTTGCAAAGAATCAATTCAACTGCAATATTTGTAACAAATTTAGTACCTACCCTAATGTTATTTTAATTTTAATCTGTCCATTGCAATATTACCCTGACATTTTGCCCACCATTTTGTAATATTATTTGTTACCTTTTTGATAAATGTAATGTCAAAACACTTATAGAGATTTTTACTAGCTCAGTGAAATTTAATAGCAAATGTTACTTACCTTAAAAATTAAAAAAAAATAAATGAGCACATTGACCATACTTTTCTCTGTCGTGAATTCGGCTTTTCAAATAGACAATTTTAGGGTAATAATTTTTCTAGGAACTGTTGGGCACCAATAATTTTCTTTTTTATTTTTAAAAGCTAGTGAGAATTATAAATTCTAGCTTTATCAATAAAAAGAAGTTAATAAAAACTATACAGAATTTAATGTGAATAAAAGAAAATTTTTGTAACCTTTAAAAAATAAGATTCAACATATATACTTATAAAAATTAACGATTTTATTCAGAAAACAAGAAACCGTTCAGAAAACAAATTATTTACAGTTTATCAGGTATCAATTTTGATTCGATCATAAATAATTTTAGTCACTAGTAATTACCACATTTTTGCCTTTTTTCTAGCCACTTCATTTGTAGATAGTTGAGATTTCTGCCCCTTTGTCGGTTACTCTTTCTTCCTAGTAACTTCGAGTTGTAACTGTCGCTTTTTCCGTTAACTCAGCTCAATCAATTTACAACGTGTAGATTACTGCGTGTAGGTTATAGCTTGAGGGTTACAGCGTGTGGATTACTGCGTGTGGTTTACAGCGGTTGAGTTATGGCGGTTGAGTTATGGCGGTTGAGTTATGGCTGATTTCATTCGTTTTCACTATAACAGCCAAAGCACCACCAGATACGAGCAGAAGGTAATAGTAAATGAAATTTAAAAATCTAATGCGAGATCGTTTGGTTAGTGGTACTCCCACTTCAAGAAATTTCCCTTTCTTTAGAATATGGTGTTTGGCGATAATTGAATTATACCTGATGGCACACATTTAAAATAACATTTTATAACTAGACTTTTAAAATGTTACACCATTAGGGCAATTTTACCTAATTTCTTGGGAAGCGGCTTATTGGAACTGGTTGTCAATGACTAATTTGCGTAATTTTGTTAATCCGAAACCCGCATAAGTATAGCGAACAGACTGTATAAATATTGTGACAGGCTTCTGGCTTCACCTACTGTGAAGTAGGAAGAATGTGTGACGCTGAGCGCCAGTTTTGTTAACACAGTTTGCTCTGTGACCCTGTTTTACACCAGAGTGTACTTAAGGTAAACTCAGTGGTCACCTCCATGTGGTAAATTATAATAAAAGATACTATTCTACCTTGCACCTCGTACTTTAGGGTACCCTGAAATAAAACGGTTGAGATGCCGGGGGTAATAAAAAAAAACAGGAATTATTAACAAAATATATTTACAAGAATAAAATAAAACACTATATTAGAAAATAACTTTTCTATCAAATAAATTGTTTAAATGCAGGGGTTAAATAATAAAAGAAAATATGAACTAATTAAAACTGTACTTATTAACAATTCGATTCGGAATAAATTAAACGTTAATTTCAGCACTCCCTGTATAACAGAAAATAACGTTTACAGTAAATAAAGTATATAAATACAATTGTCAAATAATAATAATAATAATAATAATAATAATAATAATAGGGGGTGGGTGGATCAGTGGTAGAGTTTCTGCCTGTGGATACAAGGGTCCCGGGTTCGAATCCCACCGTTGGCCGGGATTTTTTCATTTAATTTAATTATTTAAAATTAATTCTGATGCCTTGGTAGGATTCCCCACTCGACCATTCACTGTTGAGTTCTAATTAACAGTGCTGTTCCTAAAGAGGCGCTGGGAAACAGTAACAAAGCCTACACAGAACGCGAGGCGAAATAACCCTGGTAGTTGAAGCCGATGACACACACAAAATAATAATAATAATAATAATAAAAATAATAATATCCCCACTCGACCATTCACTGTTGGGTTCTAATTAACAGTGCTGTCCCTAAAGTGGCGCTGGGAAACAGTAACAAAGCCTACACAGAACACGAGGCGAAATAACCCTGGTAGTTGAAGCCGATGACACACACAAAATAATAATAATAATAATAATAATAAAAATAATAATATCCCCACTCGACCATTCACTGTTGGGTTCTAATTAACAGTGCTGTCCCTAAAGTGGCGCTGGGAAACAGTAACAAAGCCTACACAGAACACGATGCTAATGGCCGTAGTAGTAGACGCCGATGACACCAAATTAAAAAAAAAATAATTTTTGATTTTTGAAAAAGCTTGTTCCTGTTCGTAGTCCCATTTAAAGCAAATATTTTTTATAAGTTCACATATCGGTGCTGTTAACTCAGAAAGATTTGGAATAAATTTGGTAAGATAATTCACCATTCCTAGAAGTCTTTGAACTTGCTTTTTTGACGAAGGAATCTCCAAATGTTTAATAGCTTCTACCTTCTCTTCGTCGACCCCTAGACCTGAATGCCCTAGAAACTTTATTGTATTTTTGCAAAAAGTGCACTTGTCTTCATGTAGTTTTATACCAGATTGATTTAGTTTCTTGATAACCAGGTATGTTGTCTACATATTTTTTTCCTTTGTTTCGGCATATATCAGTATGTCGTCCATGGAATTTTCAAAGTTTGGTATATCCTTCAATACATTAGCCAGTAACTATTGAAAAATTTCTGGTGCGGAACACAGTCGAA